TGGAGGATGGGGCATTTTATTTCGGCGGGTTGCCAAAGTTTCCCTTCTATTGGTGCCCCAAACCGTCTAGGTTTTATGGGGTGGGCCAATTAAAGTTGACGGCTTCGGAGACGGCCGCTGTTGAGAACCTCGCCGCGCTTCCTCGGCCGAAGAACAACTAGCTGATATCTTCACCAAACCCCTTCAAGAAGATAGATATGTCTGGCTGAGAGATAGACTAGGAATGGAATTGATAAATGATCAATAGTACATCTGCTGACCCTCTATTTCTTTTTGATTATCACAAAGGGGGAGAAAAGAACACAAAATCTATCAACAATTCCTCACACTAGACCATTCAATTAGTAAGGGGGAGAGCATAGACTAAGGGGAAGGAACCTTAGGACCTTAAGAGAACAAGTATATCCCTTACACTGTATATATGCTATTTGCTGCTTGATCTGTGCTTTGGGTCTAATACATAAATTCTTGATAAACATGTATGAACTTGATAGATTATATTTGTCATCATCAAAAAGGGGGAGATTGTTAAGTTAGACGAAGCGTATTCGCAAATCCCACCAAAGTTTTGAAATGACAAATATAATACATATTGTTATTACTAACATATGTGCATTAGTGTTTCAGTCGGATAACAAAAAGTTCAAATAGTGAAATATGATCAAGCATAATCCGGCTAGACAAAACATCAGACGATAGAAAGGCCAGTATCAAGACTAAGTTTGATTCAAGCACAAATCAAGATACAAAGTCTATCAGTAGAAGTCTGAGGCATCAGACACAAGTTGGCCAGACACCAACATGAAGTGACCATCAGAAAGAACTAAGTAAACTAAAAGACGAAGTTATCACTTCCATACCCAGACAAAATGGGTAGTCAAGATCAAATCGAGTAACCAGAAGGTGTCAAGAATATAGAAGCTCGTCTAAAGTCCACTAATCACATTGAAAGAAATCATACAAGAAACACTAGAGGACATCAATGTGAATAAAAATAGGCAAGCATGCATTCACAAGTCAAAGTTGAGTGTGTCAGAGAAAGGACACCTACTTTTCAAGAAAAGATAGCACCATAAATTCTTGATAAACATGTATGAACTTGATAGATTATATTTGTCATCATCAAAAAGGGGGAGATTGTTAAGTTAGACGAAGCGTATTCGCAAATCCCACCAAAGTTTTGAAATGACAAATATAATACATATTGTTATTACTAACATATGTGCATTAGTGTTTCAGTCGGAATTAAACATCACTTCATTAGAGATAATGTGCAAAAAAGAACATTTGAATTGGTTTATGTTAAGATTGAAGAACAACTAGCTGATATCTTCACCAAACCCCTTCAAGAAGATAGATATGTCTGGCTGAGAGATAGACTAGGAATGGAATTGATAAATGATCAATAGTACATCTGCTGACCCTCTATTTCTTTTTGATTATCACAAAGGGGGAGAAAAGAACACAAAATCTATCAACAATTCCTCACACTAGACCATTCAATTAGTAAGGGGGAGAGCATAGACTAAGGGGAAGGAACCTTAGGACCTTAAGAGAACAAGTATATCCCTTACACTGTATATATGCTATTTGCTGCTTGATCTGTGCTTTGGGTCTAATACATAAATTCTTGATAAACATGTATGAACTTGATAGATTATATTTGTCATCATCAAAAAGGGGGAGATTGTTAAGTTAGACGAAGCGTATTCGCAAATCCCACCAAAGTTTTGAAATGACAAATATAATACATATTGTTATTACTAACATATGTGCATTAGTGTTTCAGGTGGCTCGGGCTGCTGAGCCTGTTGCTCAGGCTGCCAAGGTGGTCCCGACTGCCGAGGTATGTTGTGTTTCCTAAGGTCTTCTTTTTATGCTTTGGTTTTTTGCCTGGCTTTTGCTTTAAAGGAATGTTTTTGTTGTTCTTTTTGCAGGCGAGTAGGGCCGCCGAGATCTTGGAAACTCCGAGGTCGGAGTTGCCGGGGGTCGGTGCTTCTGGTGTGGAGCAGGGAGCATCTGCCTCTGCTTCTGCCGAGGCTCGCGGGAAGGGGCCATGCACTGAAGTTCTGAGGCCCACCCTGGTGTCGTCAGCACCATCGACTGGCCCGTCGAGGGGGCCTCCCAGGACATAGTATCTCGCCCAGCGCTTCCAGAAAGGAAACGCAGTGGTGAGGTTGGATCATTTGAGCGCCTCAGAGGACATTGACTCGTGGTGGAGCGCTGGGGTGTCTGCGTCAAAATTTTTTCCCGAAAGGTCCTTGAGTGCGGTTGAAGCAATCTCCTCGTGCTTGGTTTGGATGCTTCAGCTCTGCCTTGACTGAGTTTGGTATGACTCGTTGTGAAGCTGACCATTTTGTTTTCTTCCTTCACTCCTCATCTGGACTTTGTATTTATTTAGTGGTGTATGTTGATGACATTGTCATTACTGGTGATGAATCCGATGGTATTTGTTGTCTCAAATCTCATCTTCAACGCCAATTTCAGATGAAAGACCTTGGTCCACTTAGATTTTTTTGGGGATCGAGATTGCTCACTCCACTTCTGGTATTGCAATTTCTCAACGAAAATATGCTCTGGACATTCTCACTGAGACTGGTATGGTTGACTGCCGCCCTAGTGATACTTTGATGGATCCCAACATCAAGCTTCTTCCTGGTCAGGGATAGTCATTGGATGACCCAGAAAGATATCGTAGACTTGTTGGCAGACTTAACTATCTTACTGTCACCAGGCCAGACATCGCATTCCCAGTAAGTGTGGTAAGCCAATTCATTAACGATCCTCGTGATAGTCATTGGACTGCAGCAATGCGGATACTCAGATATATCAAGAAGGCACCAGGCCGAGGACTACTATACGAGGACAAAGGCAATTCTAAAATTGTCTGTTATTCAGATGCTGATTGGGCAAGATCACCATCAGACAGAAGGTCTACCTCTGGCTATTGTGTTCTAATTGGAGGCAACCTAATTTCATAGAAAAGCAAGAAGCAAACTACAGTTGCTAGATCCACTGCGGAAGCTGAATATCGTGCTATGGCAGCAACTGCAAGTGAAGTTACATGGCTACAAGCCTACAACAACTTCTCAAGCAACTTCAAATTGGAGACACTCAGGGAACTAAACTCATCTGTGATAATGAAGCTGCTCTCCACATTGCCTCCAATCCCGTCTTCCATGAGCGGACTAAACACATAGAAATAGATTGTCATTTTGTAAGAGAGAAAGTGCTCTCAGGAGAAATCAGCACTGAATTTGTCCACTCTAGTGACCAGTTAGCAGATGTGTTCACAAAATCTCTTAAAGGGCCTCGGGTTGATTATATTTGTAACAAGCTTGGTGCATATGATATATATGCTCCAGCTTGAGGGGGAGTGTTACAGATATTGTGGATACATATATTATGGTTATTATCCTCACTATCAATTAGGGATATGATTAGATTAGTTTCCATAATATAAGAGATTAGTATCTCTATCATTTATTGTATTCACTCTATAAATAAGATTGGTGTGTGTACAACAATGCACACAATTCCTGAATTACAACAATCCTCAAGGGTCCTATCAACATGTTATTGAGTTTTGAACCTAGAAGTTATCTAAAGCTCTCCTCTATGTCTGAAGCAATAGCTCAAGCTATTAGATTTAGAGGTAGTCAACAAGTTCTAGGCTATTTCATCAAAGTAAGAAAGTATAATTATGCAAAATAGCATAAAATTTAGGATGATACCACTTTTAAGGGACAAGTATTGGGAAATGTCACCTTTTCGGAGCAGTATCAAATAGCTTATCAACTTCAGCAGGTCGTAGGGCTCGATCCTAGAAAAGCATCAAATTTCCAAAAAATAGTTAGAAAAGGAATATAGATGTTACAAATAGAAAGCTACCTAAAGGGGTTGTTTAAAGAACGTAGTAGTGATCAAGATAATTCGAAAAAGTTATACATACTTTATCCATATCAAACAATCGAAAGATACCATTCAGAAACTCTACAGCTTCACTTGTCAGCTCCACACTCTGCAAGATAATGTCTAAGAAAGTAAATTCTTACTATCATTTGCAAGTTATATAGCAATCATAAAACATCTTTGCAAAATCGTTGGTCAAGACTTGATGATCTACTATGATCCAAAGATAAGATACACATGTCGTATATGATGCGTATCTGGTACAACAATACAAATATTCTAAATATATAAGATACGATACAAGTAAGATATCTATATATAAAAATTCATAAAACATAATATATATATATATGTATATATATAATTACAATTCTGCAGTCAAAATTAAGAACATACTTTTTGGACATTACAATTGGTTTATCAATGGACAATGCTTCCACATTTCAATATTATATACATGCTTATATGTCTCATGTAGCTGGATAGGGTTTTCATATTTTATATGCTTGGATGATACTTCATTAACATATGTTGGTGAAGTATCCAAGAGTATTGGTATCAAATGCAGATCATATATTGAAGCAAATTGAAGTATCTTTTCTTAAGAGATGGCCTATAACAATGGGAAATGTAAAGCTCGGTAAAAACAGCAAATATGTCTCATGATTCTATGAAAATGATCATTGGATTGAACAAGCATGCATCATTAAACTATATTAAATATTTGCATTTTCAATTCAACAATGGGCAACAAGGAATAATATTATAAGAGAAATGATACTTGTACAACAATTTGCATAACTGAGAGAGAAAATCTTTATAAGGTCACTTTTTTAATTCCGATGGATCAAGAGAGAGAGAGAGAGAGAAATTTAAAATATAAAAAATGATATAATGGAGAGAGATAGATACAAAAAATGTTGTACAAATTTTGTATAAATTGTTGTATGTGTACAGTGTATCTCATCTTATATTACAATATGTCAAGTACTAGCTGTACACTAATTGTAACCCAAACTGTCAAATATCCATACAAAAGAAAATATTTGGAGTCTGAGCAATGAATAATCACACAACATATAAGAGTCATTTTTTAGAACAAATTTAAAATCTGGATTGTTCATAATCACCAATCCTAGTGATCTGAGTAGTTCATGGCTGTCAGCTAACATTTCCTACGTGTTTAGTTTTGGGCAATCATCAACATTGACAAAACATAGAATAATAGTTAATAGCTACTAACTATTACTTGTACAAGTACAACCCATATGGAACATTTTGGTTTTCCTCATTTAACAATTCGACAAACTTTTTATTATGGTTAATATAAGTATATAGATTATAACAATTGAATGGTTGACCCAGTACTCTAGCCTCTTCCAATTAAATCAACAGGAAGACCAAAATGGAACTTTATAATAGCTAAAACCAAGAAGAAAAAAAGTACAACCTGATCAGAAGCCTGCTTAGACGGAACCGGGAGGAAATCATCCCGGAGTTTTAAATCATTATCATATCCAAACTTTCTTAGAACAGACCACAATGTCTCTGTTCGCCCTTTCTTTAGAAACATATTATGGACAAAAACAAAGCCTGGAAAGGTAAGACCAATGGAGTTGACTCCTTCAGGTACTTTCTGCTGTACAATTGTTTTGACTTTTGCTATTTCAGATGGCTGCAACGGTGCATTGAAGCATCTAACCTGTTCATATATGAATTATCAAAACTAAAGGGGAACAAACTAAATAGTCAAAGTATATGTTGAATAAAAAGGGTGGGGGGTTAATTTATCAACAACCTGAAACTCATTTAGTTCTTCATCGTTGAGGGCACCATCCATGTCATGATCGCAAAGAACAAATATTCTTCTTAACGCCCTCACACATAGATCTGTTAAAGCATGTCTTTTATAATCAAACAGCGGATCTACTGGATGCAGTACTGCTTTTTGGGCAAAATAAAAAACTTCAGGGACCTAAAATAATCAAAATTAATAATTAAATATAAGGCATTTGAGTTTACGAATTAGGGAGTCAAATATAACTAACATTGTCAAGAAGATATCCTTATATGCCTAAAGCAAATTAGCAAAACAATTGCACTTTCGCATAAATGCACAAGTTTCTTAGGATTGTTGTAATGAATGGTGCTCCAAGAAAACAACAGGATTGAGTGATCTTTAAACAACAAAAATACCATCCACTTTGCACATTTTGATGTTGTTTGCTAACCTCATTACAGACTAACTATAAACTTGTAATTTGCAAGGCTAAATAATTGATAAGCATGACCAAGGTTTTAAAAAATGATTGTAACTGCGATTTCACCAGCAGTGTCAAGGTTTTAGGGGTGTCTACAACCGCAATTGTGACCGCATTGGCCACATTGTCAGCAATTTCTCAGAATATCAAGAAACACGATAAAACCGCAACCGCGACCTCAATTTAAAACATAGAGCATGACCAAGTAACAAAAGATGCAGAAAAAACAACAAACCTGATAAAGTGTAGCTGCAGAGCATTCAATACAGGTGACAATTTCAGTGAACTGTTGCATGATAGGTGTGGTGAGACTCTCTAAGCTCACTAGCTGGTTTTCATTCCGCAGGTCTAGCTTGCAACCAACCACAATCACAGGTGCCTTCACCTACACCACCATAAACAGTAGAAGACAGCTATTGGCCCAGCGTTCATATTTCATTTTCATTCCTGTACTGAGAATGTCAGTAACTAAAAGAAGCAAGACCAACCTCCAACTTGCGCAGTTCAGGGAGCCAGTAAGTACTCACACGCTCAAAGCTCACCGCTTCATCGCAAGCATAGGTCAAAACCACCGCATCAGCTCGCTTCAATTCTTCAATGAGCGTGCCTTGATTTGCCAAACTAAAATAAAACAAATCAATCGCACGTCCTTAATCAAATGAAATCGAGGCTTGAAAAAAACGGTTAAACAACGCTCGTGTCCTGTTAATTCAATCGAGAGAATTCGCATACGGCTTTTAGGTTAAGAAAATTGAATCACACTTGTTTCAGTTAAATCTAGGGCTTATCTTTGATTAGCCAATAATGTTGCTAAAGGATTATCATTACTGTTATTTTTTTTTTGTTGCCTGAAATGAGAGTGTGGTAGGGACCTGGAAGGTGTGTCAATGACGGTAAGAGGAACGGAATCGGGGTAGAGATTATGGGGGAAGCGAGTAGGGGGAATCACGGGCGGAACGGAATCGGGGAAAGACTCCGACGCCATTGCGTCTATGAGTGTGGTTTTCCCGGTGCCTCCGTCACCCACGACGGCGATTCTAACTCCCCTACGGTCGTCGGCGATGAAGGGGCCTACCATTGCAGTAAAGCAAGAAACAGATGGGAAAGTTGAGAGGTGTTCGTATGGGAATGCGAGCCTTTTTGGACAATCAGCGAGCGAGGTACCTGGAAATCCAATTTATATCTTTGGAGTGAAATCAAACAATAGTTTTTGGTCATAACAAGTTTATTCAAAAACAAAAAATCAAGTTTTTAACGTAACATAAATTAAAAATTTAGTAAGAGAAATTCGACTTTTTGATATACATAATTTTTGTCTAATTTTATCTTTATAATTAATTTTTTATAATTATAATTTTTTATTTTTTTTAAACTTCATTTAATAATTATCTTAATTTAATAATTACTTACTATTATATAATTTTATTATTTATTATTTATATTTAATTGTGTTGAATCATTTTAGTAGTGATTGAGTTTAATTCTTGAAAAAATAATTATTTGTCACACAAAATTTTAGATTAATTCATATTAGTCTAAAAATAAAATTTTAAGACACCAATACCAAATAAAAATATATATATTTTAATCGGATGTCTCCTAATTTAATTAATTGTCAAATCACCACCGTGTGAATGCATGCATTGTTAACTGCGTTACGGAGGATTTGATGGCGGTGACCAAAACGTAATCAGAATCAGAAGTGCTCATGTATGAACTGTAACATTAGTTTGTAAGTATAAAGTCAAAAAAAGTATTAAAAAAATGTAAATATAAAGATTAAATGAATAGTTAAAATGGTTGAAAATTAGGTTGAATTATACTTTTATAATTTATCTTAATTTTAATATTTATGTTGATAGTGTATTTCTTAAACTTTAAGTCAATTTAATTTTTTTTAAATAACAATATTTTTTAATTACTTAGATTGATTGATCGGCTTCTCTTGCAATTACAAATCACTCATTTTAAAATGATAATGCTAATAGAAGAGGAACGAGATTTTAAGTTTAGTGGGAATTGGTTATCTGTTTTTTTTTTTTTTCTTGTGTGTGTCGATTTTCTTTATCTACAAAAAAAAAATCACCCATTTTAGTGGAATAAAACTAAAAGTGATGATTGTTATTTCATTAATCATGTTATAATCCTTCCTCCATTCCAAATCCATGCCTTAACATTGTGGCTCAAGCGTAGATTTTTTTATTTATTATTATTTAGGTCGATTGATTGCAATGTTTTAGAAATATTAAGTTTTGATGAAGCATATAAAATAAAAGTTAATTATCTATATACTATTAGTATAAAAAAAAAATTATATTAATAATTATATCTTTTAATTATGTGATGTTATTATAAACACGACTCATCAATCGTGAAGCTAGTGAAGGCAAAGATCCGTTGCTACAAGGCCTTGGAGCCCATTTCCTCCTTTGCCACCACCGCTTCGTGTGTCAAACGCAGCGACTACACACCTCTTAGATCTAAGAATTTGGTAGAACATTGCCAAGGCCTTCCACACCCTTTACCTTCATGCTGTACATATACATAGACAAGCAGCGATGAATAGTCACATTTTCCACGACCCCGTGAGGGTAAACGTTCAGGACAAGAGTTTGTGTACTGTGGTTGTGTACCAAAAGGGTAAGATTCAAATGATTGTAAATTTTAAATGTTAAATGGAATGAATGTTTTTAAATAAAATCATGTGAAATATGTCAAACTTATATGATTTGGAGGAATCAACATTTTTCTATTTTGATAAATTATTAATAAACACAAAAGTTGTTGTTGTTTTTTTATTTATACATAACTGAATAAAAATCGTATTATCACGGATAAAATATAATTTTAATTGAAATAAAAGTATTGTATCAATAATTTTTACAATTCCATCCAATTATAATTTATTATAAAAAAAATTTAATTTTTATAATAATCATTTTAAAACTCATATTTAAATATTTTACTTAATTAAAACAAATTTTTTACATTAATAATTTATAAAATTGAATTCCAAAATCTAAAAAAATATTTAAACCGTGATTTTTATACCCAGATTGTTTTGTTGGAATTCAAATATGAAGTGAGTTCTACACGGGTAAAGAGGCAACAACTTCAAGCACTTTGTTCAGAGCTTGAAACACTGAATGAAATTAGGTGGGTTGATATTTGATTATTTTTCATGTACAATGTCCATTGTCAGAAAAATGCGGATCCATGGTGACAAAATAGATGATGTTACTGTAATTAAGAAGATACTTCACTCCATGTCACCAAAATTCAATCTTGTTGCTTGTTCCATTGAGGAAGCTCGTGTCATTGAAGACCTTTTAATTGATAAGTTGCAAAGTTCCTTGTTAATTCATGAGCAAAAAATTTGCCTATAATAGAAGGAGGAGCATGCATTGAAGGCTTCTACAGATAATCATTCCACAACTAGAGGAGATCGTGATAGAAGAAGAAGTATAAGCAGAGGTAATGGTAGATGAAATGATGATCAAAGTTATCAAAATCACCACCAATAGCAAGAGAATCATCCCTAAAGGAGGGGAAGAGGACTAGGAGGCCATCACTCTACATCTTACAAAATAAAGATAGCAGACAAGTCTAATGTTAAGTGTTTTTGGTGTGATAAGTATGGCTATTATCAATTAGAATGTCAAGTTAATTTGAACAAGGGAAATGAAGAATGAACTAACTTTGCAAAAAATGAAGAAGTATCTATGTTAATGGTTTGTTATGTCAGAGAAGAAACACATAAGAATTTGTGGTACCTAGACACGGGTTGCAACAACCATATGTGTAGTGACAAGTCTGCATTTGCGATGTTGGATGAGTCTTTTCATGATAATGTGAAGTTTGGTGATAATTCAAGAGTCTCTATGATGGAAAAAGGAGAGGTATCAATCCAAACCAAGAGTAATGTTATTCATACTATATCTAACATTCTTTTTGCTCTAGATTTTGAGGAAAAATTCATTTAAGTATTGGGCAGCTTCAAGAAAAAAGGATATGAGATTTCCATTAAACATGGAGTTTACAAAATTCAAGATGGAAAATTGGGGTTGATTGCCCAAGTTGATATGACACCGAACAAGATGTTTCCATTGTACCTCCATACCATCACCAACTCATGTTTTTCTACAAGGTTGAAAGATGAAAGTTGGCTGTGGCATTTTTAGTATGAACATTTAAATTTTGGTGGTTTAAAAACATTGTAGCAAAAGAATATGGTGACAAGTCTCCAACAAATCCATATTCGTTTTCAAGTATGTGAAAAATGTGTCATTAGTAAACAACATCGAAAACCATTTCAAAAGGGAAAATCATGGATAGAGAGAGAAAAAAAAAGGCGTTGGAGCTTGTGTATTCAAACTTGTGTGGACCCATCACTTCAATGTCAAACAGAGCCTTTAAAAGTTTCAAAATTTTAGTTGAAAAACAAGCAAGTATTCTAATAAAGGTGTTACACAACGATCATGGTGAAAATACAACTCGAATAAGTTTGATGTTTTTTATAATGAGTAAGGAATAAAGAAGTAATTAACTACAACATATACACCTCAACAAAATGACATTTGTGAAAGGAAGAATCACACAATTTTGAACATGGTACAAAGAATTTTGACAAGGAGTGGAGTTTCAAAAGCTTTATGGCCTAAAGTCGTTAATTGGGGTGTTTATATTTTGAACAAAAGCCCACCATAGTTGTTCAAAATATCACACCACAAGAAGCTTGAAGTGAACAAAGACCAATTGTATATTACTTTAAAAATTTTGGGTGTCTTGCCTATGTCTATGTTTTTTATTAGAAGAGAAAAAAACTTGATAACAAAAGAGAGAAATGCATTCTTCTTGGTGTTAGTGAGCAATAAAAAATGTACAAATTATACAATCCTATCACCAAGAAAATTGTTTCTAGTCGTGATGTGGTGTTTGATGAGGATCAATTTTGGAATTGGGATGTAGACAAAGCTAAACAACAAATACAAGCAAATTTTGATGGTGAAAATGAAGATGGAAGGCAACAACCAATAGAACAAGTGCAAAATGAACAACAAGCAACTGAAATGACAAATGAGCATCCTCAACGTAACAAGAAGAGACTTGCATAGATGAAGAATTTTGTGGTAAAAAGAATTAATGAAGAAGTTACTCATTTTACCCTATTTTTAGATTGTGATCCTGTAGCTTTTGAATAAGTTGTTAAAGAGACCAACTGGCGAGAGGTAATGAATGAAGAAATGACAACCGTAGAGCATAACAACACTTAGGAGTTGGCTAATCTTCCAAAAGGGCACAAAATAATTGGCGTAAAGTGGATTTACAAGACAAGACTAAAGGAAAATGACAAGGTTGACAAATACAAGGCTCACTTAGTAGCTAAAGGTTATAAACATTAATTTGGTGTTGATTACAAAGAGGTGTTTGCTTTTGTTGCTTATCATGGTACAATTAGGTTAGTGATTGCTCTTGCAGCTCAAAATTCATGGCCTATATTTCAATTAGATGTGAAATTGGCGTTCCTACATGGAGACTTGAAAGAACAAGTATTTGTTGATCAACCTCTTAGATAAGTGAAGCATGGAAATGAGCGCAAGGTGTATAGGTTAAATAAGACATTGTGTGGACTTAAACAAGCCCTAAAGGCTTGGTTTAATTGCATTGAAGCTTACTTTTTAAAGGAGGGCTTTCAAAAGTGTTTGTATGAGCATACACTTTTTTACAAAGGTTGGTGATGGAGATAAGATGATTATGGTTTGCTTGTGTGTTGATGATCTTTTCTTACTGGGAATGATGTTGCCATGTTTCACAAATTTAAGAAGTCTACGATGGCTGAGTTTGATATGACTGATCTTGGCATGTTACATTACCTTTTGGGAATTGAACTAGTATAATTTGCTATTCGAATTTTTATTTATAAAAATAGGCATGTGCAATAAGTGTTGGATAGGTTTGGGATGAAGGATCGTAACTCTGTTGGCACACCAACTAAAGTTGGTTTAAAGCTTGTTTGAGATTTTGAAAAGAAAAAAATTAGCAGCACCTTTTACAAACATCTTGTAGGAAGTTTGATGTATTTGACAGGTACAAGACTTGACATTATGTTTGTTGTAAGTCTTATTAGCATATTCATGGAGTGCCCAAATGAGATTCATTTACTTGCTGCAAAGAGAATCCTTTGATAGTTGCAAGGCATAACTGATTACAAATTGTTTTACAAAAAAAGTGAAAAATCATATTTGTTTAGCTTTACAGATAATGATTATGCTAGTGATCTTGATGATTGAAAGAATAATTCTGGTTATGCTTTTATGTTGGGTTCATGAGCTATTCCATGGTCTTCAAAGAAGTAACCAATTGTTACTTTATCCACTACTAAAGCTAAGTTTGTAGGTGCTATAGCTTGTGCCTGCAAAACTATTTAGTTGAGGAAAATTCTTAAAGAACTACACTTATTGTAGCAAGAAACAGTGACGGATCCAGAAATTTTAGATAATGAGACCAATACTTATTCATATATTTGTAATATTAAAAATTTATATATAATTTTAAAGGCAAAAATATATATCATAATTATTTTTTACAAGTTTTTATATTTATTATTACAATTAATTAAAGATGAAAATAAATTAGGTTAGATTAAATTTTATCACAATTTAGTAGGTTATTATAAGTATGACTTATTTATCTATCATAAATTATTTTTAAATGTTTGGCTAGAACTATAATCCTAAAGAACTACTTTATAATAATTTAACACTATTAAAAATAAATATGTTAAATTTTATAAAAATCAAGTTTAATTTATTTATGATATAAACATGTTTTTGATATCTAATATATATTTTTAGATGATAATTTATTTTAAAATATATTTTATAATAACAATTCTAAATGGAACATAA